AACTTTTACTATCATTATATATATCTCCATGTAATTAGACGAACTTTATGGTTGTACACAGTGAAGCATCAGTGTCAACACTGATGTTGCTCTCTTTGATAATGATGATGATGACAGCACCGACAACGTGAGTGGAGGCATCAGCTGTCACGACAGTCGGAAGCTTGGGATCCTAGTGCGTCAGTAAGATTTCGGAGCTGAACATGGACTTGAGCTGGCAGAAAGCAGCTTCACCTTCTTCTGACCAAACACAAGGCACGTTTTTTCAGAAGTCGATTGAGCGACGGCAGAGCACTGTGCAATGCTAGTGAAAATGCCGAATAGTAGCTGATGAGACACAAGAAGGGAGCGAAGCGTAGTAACATACTTGGGAACCAGCATCTGTTAAATTATTCGTACGTTCTCGGGATCGGCGTTTCGACCGAAGGCATTGAAGATGAACTCGAGATACAAATGGCCGTCGTGAAGAGCTGACACTTTTCAGAACGGAGCTGAAGGACGTTGTCCTTGGTGACTTGAAGCACCATATTGATTCGCCTGCGCAGTTCATCGGGGGACACCTATGACGCCGATTGATGTCAGTTTATGTCAAGGACAGAGTTTAAAGCAGTGGTTCGATCCATACTGCTTTATGGATCAGAAACGCGCAGAGGACATACGGAAGATGTCAGTGTTTAACCATCGGTGCCTCCGAAGCATTAGTCAAGTATGGTGGGAACATCGGATTAGTAATGGTGGGGTACGCCAGATGGTCTTAGGAAGAAGGAACTCTCCCTCGCTAGATTAATTACTCAGGCTTCATAGGTTACGTTGGTTAAGACTTGTACTCCACATGCCAGAAGGCCGTTTGTCTCACAGAGCTCCTTTTTGCTGAGTGGGAGCGATCGAGAGTCGGACAGTGTATGAACTGGAAACGAAATCCGAAAACACTAACCAGTTCGGGTCGGCAACTGCCGCCTCCCTGGTTGGGGACCCCGGGCCTCAACTCATCAGTGGTTAATGGCATTGGCAGGAATGACCCGATCGCACAGTCAGTGGCGCTCATGCATCAAGGCTATCGCCTTTAACACGTAGCTACCCAGTTCCCGAACTAGCCAAGGCCTGGCTGTGTGTCCCACACCCTTTTTTCCGGTAATCGAAACTGTAGCAGCCGGAACCAATGTGCCTATGGTACACGGTTTATAGCTGATAAATCGAATCGAATCGAATCGAATAAGCACATCGTCCTGGTACCACAACTAGATTGTCAGGGAGGATAGTGCCCATCAACTGCTTGTAAATCCAAATTGTAGACGATTATATACGTACAGACCCCTGTGCGTGCCGATGGTCAATAGAGGTTGAATTTCCGGCGCTACTTCTATCTGCAGGTATGCATCAGTTGGGTCAATCTTGGCGATTATTAGACAAATCATCGGGTACCGGCAGTGAGTAGTGGTGCTGTTCGAGAGCTGCTTTGAGAATAATAATCGTTCAGCTGTAACACCCTGGCTGTCATGCCATCAGAGGGAAGCACAAGGGCTGGGATACTGCCAGGTTACTCAAGCCTAGACAGGGCAAGTTGAAAGGCAGAGGTCGAGTTCGAACCACGGACCTTCCGGTCAGTAAATTAGCCTTCCTCCCCCAAGGAAATGGAAGAGGTGCAGAGAGCCGGGAATACACGAAGATCATTTCAGTTGATCCGTGCAACCGCCCCTCGGGAACCACTTGTAGGCGCAGCCGTCCGGGATCAAGTGGCGCGACCATCTTCAGTAAAAAAGGACGCCTTGACTGCTGGCCGAGCACTTTGGGTAGTTCTCGTGGACACTATTCATTTGGATCCTGGGATTGAATTACTACCCTGGACGGTGAACTTTGAATCCCCTACGGCCTCGGAGTTTTGTGCCTGCGTGTGACCTCTCAAGTGCCACCTAGATCGTAGTCCGGACGATTTTCCACGAACGCGTTTAAGGATTGGGGTGAAGCCGTCACTTAGCAGTTGTCTGATCTGTTTGCCTGTATTTGGGAACATGTAACCATCCCAAACAACTGGGAAGAATCAATGACAATGCCCATGCTCGAAAAACAGGGGCCGTAGTGAGTGCGGTATCCACAGCGGGATCAGCTTGACTCCAGTCATAACGAGAGTTAACGTCACGTGCTCTTTGCCGCCTACGATGGCCCTTGAAGTATTGGGTCTAGGACAGCAAGTGAGATTCCGGCCTGGTATGGGTTGAGTTGACCGAGTTTTCACACTGTCTCATGTTCTAGAACAACGTCTTACGTATAAACGACCCACAGTTTTCAGTATCCCTGGACTTGTGAGGGGCATTTGACTCAGCTGACCGGTCTGTTCTCCTTAGGGGCGAGATGGCTCAAGTGGTTAGAGCGCGAATTTACTGACTGGAAGGTCCGTGGTTCGAACCGGACCTCTGCCTCTGCCTCCCGACTTCCCCTGTCTAGGCTTGGGCAACCTGACAGTATCCCAGCCCTCGTGCTTCCTTCGGGTGGCATGGCAGCTAGGCACCGAAAGAGCGCTACAGCTGGGCGATTTTATACTGTTCTCCTTATCACCATTGCTCAACAAGGCATTTCGTAACATAATAAATTCTTCGAATCGTCTGACTTCCTGGCGTGTAGGAGCATACAGAGAGTTCTTGAAAAGCTTCCGTACAAGCATACCCACCTGCTGTATTTTATTTCATTTAGTGGTCGACGAGATACATAGACGGGTTTTGGAAGGTCTTTTGCACCCTGATGTTCAAATAGCTACTAACGAAAACCCTATCGATCTCGAATGTGTTAGCTTCTTCGAACAGGATAAGAAAGCACATGCGTTTTTGGTTGAAGTAACTAAAGTCATCTGGTATGTGGTTTGCTAACACAAACTCTATGATTATGCTTCTGAACACACATACTGAACACACCACTTATAATCCAAAGGGTGGCACTCGATTTTGTAGAGCTATTTAAGTATTTTGAAGGCTGTAGTGGTTCAGATTTTAGAGTGCATGAATCTCAGGCTAATTTTGAGATACATGTGGCGGTAAGGTGGTGTATCCTTAAACCTCGAAGGAATTGTGTATGAGACCACAGTACGCGCTGTTTTGCTGTATGGTAGTTAGGCGTGGTCCCTGTGCGCAGATGAACTGAGAGGTCTTCAGGCCTATGGCAGTCGTCGGAATCACGCTTAGTTAGTATTAGACAACCGTACCGAACATCGAACATTTCACAAAATTGCCTTAATTAATAGTCATAACCGGGGCCTAGGTGCCATGCAACGATGCGATCCATATTGCTTGGCAAATCAGAAACGTGGCTTCGATGGGTGAGGTTAGACGACTGTCAGAGTCTCCAAAGCACTGTTCGAGTTTGGTGAGGACTTCAGGTACGCCGGACGGATTTAGGAAGAAAGAAGCATCATGCGACGTACGGGCTACTCACGCTTCATCAGTCACGCTACTTAGGACGTAAGTTCCCACGTCTATCCTGTCTATCCCTCAATGCTATTTGCCCAGTCCTGTGCTAAGGCGAACGGTCTATGTTCCATCAACCATGAAGTATGAAAGCACTATCCAGTTAACTCAGTCAGACTGACAACTGCCGCCTTCCTGGGCAAAGGCACCAGGACTAATCTCATCAGTGATCAATGATATTGACAAACATGGCTCATTCGCGCAATCAGTGACGCTCCCGACCAAAAAGCTATTGCCTTCAATGTCCACCTGTCTAGTCTCCCGTTTCTTCGGGCAAATAAAGTTACTCTAATCGCTTGTGTCATCGCCTGCAGTGTCTAGCCGGAACTCCCCTGCTATATCTTTTTCAGTAGCATCAGGACCCAACGTGCCTTTGATGTATGGTGTACAGCTGGTAAACACACACACACTCACCCGCGTAGATAACACATTCGTTGCGATCAAGTGTGATAAATTTAGTGGTTTCTACCGACAACAACTTAGATTCGCACAGTAAGTCCAGTTTGGAGCTGGAGTCCACTTCGAGTCAACTGCCGTGCCTAGGTTACATAGCACACAACAGTGGCGGAAGAATACAAACTATCAGAAACTGGTGGGCACTGATGCAGTCTTAAACTACTCACCAATCCATCCAAATACAAAATACTTTCGTATGGCTTCATCGATGTGTAGTCGACTAAAGGCGCTGTGTTCAGATCACGTTGACTAAACAGCAGCACAAATTGAGTTTTCAAAAAGGAGACTCCAAGAGAGCGGACATCCATCTAGTTTAATTAGGCGGAAACTGAGACAGGATTCGACCTTATTACCGAGATCCGACAGGATTTGAGCCAGAATAGCAGTCATCCTATAAAAACATGAACATCTGAAACCAGTAGAAGAATGAACAATACGGCTAACATTAGAATAGAAAAATGTGCGCTTGAAATAGTCCAGCAGTTGAGGCGCAGATTTACTGACCGGAAGGTCCGTGTTTCGAACCTAACCTCTGCCTCTCGACTACTACTGTCTGGGCTTGAGCGACCTAGCAGTATCTCGGTCCTCGTGCTTCCTTCTGGTGGCATGACAGCTAGGCACCGAAAGGATGTTACAGCTGTGCGATTATTTTTTACATTTCAGTGTTGCTTCAATTGATGGGACCAGGGACTACATCTGATTATTACTTTTCTGCCGAGCACTGCTACTTTCGTATTATACTGCATGAGAGAAACGGCGCAATTGGTGCGTCAACTAGATTAGAAACCTATTCTCTTTTCTGTCTACATCACTGAAACCACTTTCGAATGTGCTTTAGTCTTTGGAGCGTGTCTTCGGAGCTTATATCGGAATTGTATAGTCTATGTTCTCGTCAGTTCACTCGAGTCAAGGAAATATCTATACATGTACATTCGATTTTGTGAAGCTGAGTAGACACATACACTAAGAGTGGCTTTTTCTTCCAAAAATTAGCTTTAAAGCACGTCAGGAATGCATGTTTCTACTGCAAATGATCTGATTCACTGCAACTTTCAAGGGAATGTATTTGATTTGTTGTCCCTTCCCTAGATGAGAACGATGACGAGGACGAACGATGCGCACGGAGAAAATCTCGCTTACTGGAACCTCATCCAACCACTGCACATAGCCCCCGTCCTAACGAAACCTCCAATCGGCGTAGATCAGATGCTGCTGCGCCACGCGGTATTTCTCAAACACAAATCGGGGAACACTACGGTAACTGTATCAGATTGGCAGCGGAGAATAAGATAACGGCAAAAAATGCCTTCAATCTGCATTTGATTGATTACATGAGTGATATGTTGAAGAATGAGGACTATGCCAGTTTTCAGGTAAGACCACGCCAGCGTAGCTGGTATAATCAAACTAGTATCAAGTCTTCCTGCGTTGAAATAAGGTTGTCTTGGCAATCCGTAGTGGTCTCACACGATAATTAGGTCTTATAACTTGTATCTCAAGTTAGAAGATTCTAGATCTCTATCAGTGGCATTTAATACATTTATGTTGCCTGGTGTTATCTTGATTCACTGTGTCTTTGAATTGTCTCTACATTTGAAACGCCATGCCTCCCACTTTCTAAGCTTGTATTGACCTCATTAACCTCATTGAGGACACCATTTGTTCATAGCACAATGTGTGGCCAGTTCCAATGGGGTAATCGATTGTACGCTACTTTGTGATTGATTTGATGGAGTAAGTCAAGTAGTGCTCTCGCTCGCGCTGTTGTCCTCGATGCTACTATGCCGCTGCCCGTGAACATTATACAGACTTATAAATACCAAGTTGATTGCTCACAAGTAGTAGTTTCCCGAAAAAAATCATGATAACTGAGTAAAGAAACCCTTTTAATTGTTTTGACGGTTCAAATCAGTATGGCATTAAAAGGCGATCACTAGTCCACCCTCCTAAATTCCGTTTGTCCCCGAATCTCTGCTAACAGAGTTGTTACGTTGTTTTATTTCGTAGTGCATGTTAATCTTCGGTTGGGTAAGTCAGTTTTTTTAGCCATGGAGGGCGAAGTGGATCGATGGTTAGATCGCGAACGAAGTTCCGTGTTTCGAACCCATCAAGGCTTGGGTAACCTGACAGTATCTGGGCCCTTCGCTTCCTTCGGGTCGCATAGCAATAGGCACCGAACCAATGGAAAATAGAACGAAACAACGCACAATAACTGGACGTGCACATAGGTTCTCATCATTGCCTTTGTCTTCATTTATACACCCATATGTCCTTGCTTTCATCTTCGGGCCAGGATAAGTGTTCGCCTCACAGTATGTTCAAGCCTAGCCGTATGGTACAAAACCACTCGTTCCTAATAGCCTAGCGGAAAGGAGGCAACGAGTCCTATACAGAGAGGCCACATTGCATTGGTGTTAACCTGCCACATGTATTTGTCAGTTTTGAGTAGTTATGGCATCACTACTGTCGAGATAAACTCTCACCAACAACCCGATGCAGTCGAAATTGCACTACCTGAGTGTAGAAGGTGTGTGGTACGGTTCTTGTTATCCACTGCTCCCGCGGGTAAATACCCTCGTCAAACAACTGTTTCCAACCATTTTTGAAGGTATTTTACCGGACGAAGCTTGTTAAACGTGGATTTTTAAGAATGTTTATGTAGTCATTGATTATCTTCATTGGAGATTGCATTAGATGGCTTCACTCCTATCCTTTCTTCATGGGAATGAAGATTGCCAGTTCTTCCCTCGATGCGGGAGCCAAGATTTACGCTGGTCGTGTGGACGCAGTTCATCAAGAAACGTATCAAGTGCTTACCGGACTAGGTCGTTCAGATAAAGCCCCAATAGAGAACGCCGAAGATGACACTGATGGAGAACCTAGCACGCAACATCCCGCGAAACCTGGGCAACCCAGAAAAACGCAACCGCAACGAGACATCATACAAAAACAACTCAGCAAGATTCGATCCAAAGCTCTGACTTCCAAAGCGGACGTAAGTTCCTATTCTCTCATCTGTTTCTGCGCATATCGTAGCTTCAACACACTGTCTGTACTCCGTCACATTTATGAAAGGAAACTGTTCCAGAAGGGAAGAACTTTGCGGTTACAGGTATTCTGTATTTCGCGGTACAGTAAACTCAGCTTTAAGAGCACATTTCGAAAATGCAATACCTATAGTGGGACTGAGAAACACTCCCACTTTTGTTTCAATGAACAGCGAAGATTAAATATTCTGTTAGCTCAATGCTCTATTTGCCCTTCTCCCACCAGAATGAAAGTATTCCTTTCGGTGTGTAATTTACTAAGCAGTGTAGTTGGTACTTCTGGTCACAGATGGTGACTCGTCACACCTTAGCTTTATGGTAGCTTTTTTGCTCCACTGTAAACTTATCGACTTGCCCTGTCTTTCGCGCATTTCTTTAAGGATTTTTTTGGGAGACTTGTACACGGAGCAAAAACACTCTTGTTTCCCATTCTTCAATGATTGATCCCCCTTCAGAGTGACCATCAGTTAGGATAGGACGATCGACCGAAAGACAACAAGAACGTTTGGTTCGGATGCTTTCCTGTCCGGATAGATGGACAAGTCCAGGGTCTGCAAAAAGCTCCACCCAACAACGGACAGGAAGAGGATATTCTTTTCTGACTTGGTCTTACGGGATAAAGCTACCCAAATACCTACGGATCGAGTGTTGTCTTCGCGCAGAGCACTTCCTGCACTAGGATCGAGTGTAAAGTTACGGTGTCACAATCGTCTCGTTTCATCAGTCTCTGTTTGCGTTGAGTAACTGACACCAAGCACTGGTTAGAAAAAAAAGATGGTATAGTAAATAACTATACTCTTTTGGCGCCTTGTTCACTGTGTGATACTAGCAACAGAATAGCCCCTAAACTGTCATATGGTCGTAGCTTTGTAGATATCCGCCAGTCGTGCTATCAGGTGAGGGTTATGGGTCTAAAAAACCAACAGTTAGGGTTGAGTGGATCGACTGAACCGGAAATTTACTTTTGGACTAGCCATGCATGTCATTTTTACTTAGATTGTTTTGGTGAATCGTATCTACAGGGAACAAGTAAGACGAGATCGATATCGAGTTGTGAGCAGAACGGTAGTGAGTATTTAGGCGAGTGTTTTTAGACTTTTTGTTGCTGATGGATTCCAATTCTTCTGTGAGGAGAGTTCTCGTCGATTCCGTCGTGCGCAACCATTTTGCACTGCGTATGCCTAACACATGAGGAGTCTGTTCTGGGATCCCCTGGAATCAAGTCGGGCCGAAAAAGACAGGCAGTAGTACACTTAAGCTCTCGTTTTTGTACAACTAATCCGGCTTTTGAGCATGGTTATGCCAACGGCGTAGGGTTTACGAGTTTCAAGTGCCTTGCGGGGCACGAGGATACGGCAGTCGCATGCGAGTACAAACACAACAGTTGGCTACTCGTGAGTAGTTTAGAAAATCCGCAAATATGTATTCTGCAGCGAACTTAATGAGTCGATTGGCGGGATAATCTGTTAGGCTCTGATTCTGTAGAATCTTTATACCATGCAGAGCTTCACTCTTCATTTTGTGGCCCGTCTGTGGTTTACGAAGAGCTAGTCAATCTGCCTGTTTTGCATTTCTGTCTAATAAAATATGATGCCAGAAGCATTGTTCTTGCACTTATTGTCAAGAATCGCTTGAAGTTGGCCATGGATAGCTTATCTATGGCTTGTTCTGATAACTCCATCATTCAGAGTTTCGGCTGCTGTATACTGTAGGTGAGCGAGCTAATCGCACTTTTTCATTTTACTTCTTTCTTATTGCCCGGAGTGGTTTTATAATTGGACAGCAAAACACACCACCTACAGAGGGATCGTTCAGTTAAGCTAGATCTTCATTTCGACGGGATCCAGATACTGTCGGTAACAACCAGTTATTCTGTGTTCTCAATCGATAGCCCACAACATGGCCTACCACAACAGGATTTAGTGCTCCTGGAGTCCCACTATCACCCTTTCCCCCACATGCTTCTGAAGGAGTCCTATGAAACATTCCAGAAGTGACCAGTAGACGGGATTGCTGTGACAGTTTGATAAAATCCAGTAAGAGCTGTCACCCGCAACAAATAAGGCTTAACAAGTTCAACTCTATATGATCGTAAGCCTGGCAGGAAACTGCTTCTTATTCATACCTGTATCTTATTTCAATAACCGTCCCAAACTTTCTTCCATCCCAAGGTCGATCCGTTATTTCAACATCAGACGTCAGCCTATGACGATGGAGGTACCGCTGAATTACGCCTGAACCAGCTGCGTAGTCTGGATGAAACTTGTACCCTCATACTAGACTCATCCACTCCTGTAATACAGGCTGTCCAGCGGACTTCTGCGGAATCAGTCGATGTACTTGGACTCGCCAATACAATCCAACTCCTGCTGCCCGGCATGGCCAATCAACTGGTCATGTGCCCTAGTCTCAGAAACTTTCGGTTCACAGACTGGGATCTGAGTAATGTGAGTCTCGGGTTACTTTTTGTTGATGGTTTTGGGCCATCCTGACCAAAGTTACTAACATTTTTTTCTGGAACGTCGGCATGTGTTCGCTCAGTGCTCTCCGCCTATGACAGATCAACTGGCACAAAACTGACATCAACGTAGAAGTACTTTTTCAGCTGCTCTTATCTTAATTCAGCTTGTACCGTGATCTTGTACGGTTGTATGGAGTGCGTAAAAATTCCGATTCAAAACCAAATTCGAACGGTTTACCTTAATTCAGTAGTTTTGTCATGAAGCACATCTTGTTGCTGTCTTGATTGCTTCTACTTTCTGTTGAACCGACTACACCAACTATCCCCCTAAAACAGACACCCCGAATTAAGGGAGATTTTTCAACTTATCAAAATCCGTACGTGAACTAGGGACACTCTGCGGAACCGTACCAGAGCAAAGCCATATGTCTCTCTCAAGGGGACACTGGTTTGTTGAGTCGCGAGTCTTCTTACCTAATGACCTGTTATCCATTTCTATTCCTGAGCTCTTCAGTGAATCGGTTCAGGTTGCTAATGAGCCGGCATATTGCAGTTTGAAAAATGTTTAGCGAAACCACCGGATTTGCAAATAAAAAAGTGCATGTGGTCCATTTTATTTCTGGATGATCTGTCTCGTTGTCATAAGGTTGATTGTTGTGGGGCTATCACCTACGCAGTTAGCACTGATGTTTTCGCGAGGCATTGGTGTCTTGGTGGTCTCGTGTGTTACTAAAGGTCGTTAGAGCACTCTTTAAGTAGATGTATAAAATGCCCATTTTACCACGCTTTCCATTGTGTTTCATTCAACTCGACCAGAACCGTTCGTCACTGTCTCTTTAATTTTTTCAACTTCGCTCTCCCTTAGGAGTCCACCACTCTTCTGAGTCTCCCTCCATCTCCTGCAACTCCGGCTGGTGGAGACCCGTTGCCAAATGACGCCGACGATCATTTTTCCGACAATGCCATGGATGACGACAGTACGTCTTGCTATTTTTCCAATGTACCTGTGTCTAAACCCAGTATAAATATCCTTCGTCGTAGTTGGTATTCATTTGCTCACGTGACTTATAAGTGTACTGTTGCAACAGGGTTCTGACTCGCTTCTTGAGCTGTAATGAATTTGGCCCCATAAGTTGATCTGTGTGACATTTCGTTTCCGACTTCTGTCGTTGAATCAATGCTCTTTGAAATATAGTTTCGTATGTCGTTTAAATGTTTGTTATCCAGCGCACCGTATGTTTCGTTTGTGAGCGTATTTTTTTATCGTTTCTCTCATTTCACTCACAGCTCTCGTCGCCGCTCCCCCTGATGAGGTTGATCAGATTATCCCGTGTGGTTCGGACGCGGATGCCGCTTTACGCAATGGTAACGATATGATAGAGCGCATCCCATCCCCTTCAGAACCAGCTCGACAGGACACTGATGTGTAAGACCTGGCACTGCCTTAGTCGCTTCACTTTCCCTCACTTGTATTAGCTGGTCGCCGTACTCTGGTTAGACCAGTCATACTGATTTACTTTGTCACACGTTAAAAAAAAATTGATATACTAACTACAGCATGTGGTAGTTGACTTCGTTTTCCGTATCTCCAGAAAAGAGGCATTGAACATATTTTACGATACAACCTATCCTCCACATTTGTATTAGTACCTATGTAATATCACCTAATTACGGTATCAGAAAAGCCAGGCTCACTCGGTCCCACTAAAGTAGTGGTCGTAACAGGGCGAGAGTGATCTCATAAGTGAGCTTCAGCCATTAACCATTTTCCTTTCTGATCCATACCATTATGCCCGACACTCGTTATAACGACACCCTCATCCTCCAACACCTGTAGACTTCCGCAAAGTGCCTTTCTGTTGCAATTCCTTTGATGCTATCTTTCCTGGACTATCTGACATCCTGCGTGTGAAAACAGCAAACGCCGGTTGTTGCCAGCCCATATGTCATTGATTGCTTCGGTCAGAAAGTCAGCATTGCTGCATAATTCGATACAGTAGTTGGGCAAACGCAATAATAAGTTCGAGTGTGTGACGCGATTTCATACCAAGGCAATACCGTAATGCGTCTCACTGTTGATCACTGTCTGGTAGTACGTCTCTTGGATATAATCGCCATGCTGCAACCACTTGATCAGCACCGCCCTCTCAAACGACTTACCATCTCTCCCATAGCCGCCAACCTTTGTACTTTTGAAGCAGCCTCAGAGTCTCCACCAGATCCTGCAGAATCGCATGTGATGGTAGTTGGCCCAACAACCGCTGTTTGCACTGCATACCCCTACGTTGATTGCATTAATTTATCGATGGATCCAGACCAAATCTGTCCTGTAGATGCTCCCGTGGGGCCCTGTTATTGAAGAATTCCGGACGTATGACTTATGTGACGTTTATTAGTCCAGATGCATTGACTGAAACGTGACAAGATATTTCAAGGCATAGGTTCATAACGGATGTGATCGACAAGTAGCAACCGACCAACCTAATTGTTTACGGCTGAAGACAGTCAGAAGATACCTTGACATTCAAGAATGTTCCTCGGGAATTCGCTACATGTGCCAGTCCCAGCGTCGCCCTGTATTTATCTGAGCGCACATCCCTAATCGTCGCACGTCAAACTTTAGAAGACCCCCACAGTTTCGGTTAATATACTGGAATTTCATGCCCGTTTGGGAACCGATAGGGTTGTAGAGAGACCACATTAGCCTTAGCCCAGGAAAACAAAACCACATCGGGACATCAATGCCTCAACTGTTGAAACGTAATTTCTACCAGGCAGTTCATTGCAGCATTTCAAGTGGAAGACGTAGAAGCCTGTTCCAACCACTTAAATAAGCCCAAAAAAATTTTATTACCACAGTTTCAACATTTTCTGTTTTGGTTCTTTAGCAATGTCTGGCTTATTTAAATTAATAAGCCTATCTCCAGCTGGCTTCTTTCTCGGTCATTTTATTATGGGATATAGGTGTTCCTCTCGCGTGGCGAACATTTTTTGGTGGTTTGTAAACAAGACATTGTTATTTATTGGATTTTTTGTACAGGGACACTTTCATAACAAAGTTTTTAGTACAAGACACATCAAACCAGAGTAAATCAAACGGCGTCAGTTTTTGTGATCGTCAGCACATATCGTTCTGTTTGACTGTATTGGTCTCTCAAGCTGAAAACATATCCGAATCTACCATCTGATTTTTAATGCGACGGGATCACATGATTCCCGGATAGTATTCGTCACTCAGTCACGAGAGGGCGCAGGAGATGAGAATATAAATTCCATGTGAGACCTAGTTATTTCGGCCTAAATGACCTCCATAAATAGGGGGGTGTTACAGTTAGCTGTAGTCTTCAGCCCAGTACTGGGACTGGAGTTCATAGAATGTTGCCTGGCTGTTTCCTTTTACCAAAAGGTATCCTTATGCTCTTAAGTCACCCGAATCCCTCGGTCAGTATCCCTACAAAGCCCACCGAATCTTTTCCAAGTCCGTTTCCTGTGGCGTTACTTCCGTTAGTATCACTTCATCTCTTCTTTATTTTGACAGTCTGGCGGACAGCGAATTGTTCGTATCCAGTCTAAAAAGCATGTTGGGGAAGCAATACGAGCATTTTGGTCAGCTGAACGATCATATCCTTGGCATGTGGGCCGGTCCTGAGCATTGGAGGAAGAAGACAAAACGTCGGCGATTCGATCCTATCACAGGACTGGAAGGTAAGCAGCTATATGCTGTTTTTGTTTAACCCGGTGGCGAAATGGCCCAAGTGGTTAGAGCGCGAAAGGTCCGTGGTTCGAACCCGACCTCTGCCTCTCAACTTCCCCTGTCTAGGCTTGGGCAACCTGGCAGTATCCTAGCCCTCATGCACCCTTCGGGTGGCATGACAGTTAGACACCGGAAGGGTGTTGCAGCTGAAAATTTTTCTTGTTTAACCCTTAGTTTTTCGACGTAAACTGTCAGACCTTGTTTCTCTGTTGCCACAGAAACGTCTCTTAACTTATTTGTCATACTTAGTCTAGATATAGCAACGCTACGAATCGGTAATAAAGCTATCTCATTTTTATAAACATATCGGTGGTTCGTTACATCATGATCAGATTCAGGACGCGCACTACTCGACATCATTTTTACTATGTCCCTGTGCTATGAGCACGAGATGCTAAATAAGCCAACGCAATTTAAAGTCCACGCGTACTTAGAACCCTATAGTGGTTATGGGATCCCAAATCCTATGAATTCATTTGTCCGCTAAACCCATGCCCACAAAGTCCAGTTCTGTTGGATGGAAATGAGACACAAAAGGATGGGTAGCCCGAAACGAATGAAGTGGGCTGAACGGCCCTTGCCTGGCGACGGCGATTCGAAAGTGAGAAATTTGGTCGTCATCGTAGTCATTTACAGAAACACCATTGTGAGGACACTGTTACCTAGGAGCCTGACTATCATATCCATTTATATTTGTAAAGCCCTAGTATTAAGGGGAGTGGTAAGTGATTAGGTGAAGCGGCCTGACACTGAGTAGAAGGTCGAGATAGATAACTCAGATGGACTTGATTCTATCGTAATATCGTCCGGAAATTCGGGCAAATACATTTGCTATGGTGACTCTGTGACATCTTAGGCAGCAATTTTTTATGTGGAAATCTAGCTTTTGGCATCAAATGGTAAAAGTTGCCGCTGCATATTTTGCCCCATCAAAGTACTTTCCTCTATCCTGTGTATGACCAAGGTGGATATATACTATCCCAGCTCGTTGACACTTATTGTAGAATCTTGGCTGTTTTCTCAAAGGAAACTACTTACAGGGTTGCTGAAAACTCCTCGAAAGCCCACGCCCGATTTCGCCATTCTTGGGGCTCATCAGGTAGGCGCGGTTCTCGAGATTCCCTCAATTGTATGTTCTATTTGAACCCAAATTGCACAAATTTCGACACGTACGCACATTTGCATATCAGTTTGGTTTTCATGAGGGACTCAACTGAATCTCTCGCTTACGATATTCTTCAATTGAATGCGCTGCACAAAAGCCGCGTGTTTGTCGAAATCTTGACTGCTTTTTCCATCTTTTTTTGGATACAACCAATATAAATCATACGAGATGCGTTTTGAATCGGTTAGGTACTTTGTTGACTGGGTATATCTTCGTGATGAAGGAGCTCAATTCCTAAGCATACATGTATAACCTGGGGAATAACTTGATGCGGCTAAATAGTTCCATCAGCTGGAAAAAGGTTGGATAATTCACTATCTTAGGAAAGTTTGGAAAGTAATCTGTTGCTCCGCTTCACTTCAGACATAAATGCTTCCTCGGGCGCAGCGGCAGGGCAGGTTCATGTCTCAAAAAGGAACACTGTGTGGTAATAAATTTACCTATCATCTTGCAGGCATTTGTAGAAAAACCTATTCAAAAACACCATGAGGGCTGTAGACACGTCCCAACGAACAAGATGTAATAACGTATTTTCTCAGCTTGGTTCTCAGTCTGTACCTTCCAAGCTAGCGTTCCCACCAAAACAACCACCAGTACAAAGTGTATCAATGCCCAAAATCAGGTCAAAAACACTTGTATAGCGTGTCCCGTATAAAGTGTATGCGGCGACAACATTTTGGAAATTCGGACGCCTGGGTGCGACATTGGCAACTGGCATTCGGTGGAAACTGTTCTAGACTTTCGGCCAATCAGAAGTCGCCTTGATGCTGTACCGACAAGCGGACCGATCTCCTGGCCGATTGCGTGCGAGATAGGCTTCTTGGCCGTAGCAGCGCATAACTGCGAACGGTTAAGCGGTGTCAGTGCGGAATTCCGCCTAATGCAAGCTCTGCTGAATTTCTTGACCAAGAACCGATTTGACCGAGGGCACGGCTATTAGCAGTTTGTGCGCCAAGCATGCAACACATTAAAGCTGGAGTTTTTTACCCATTTATCGAGGAACTTTGTGTTTCATGGATTCGTTGGCAAGCATTTCAGATTTGCTGATTCTGTCGTGAGGGAGATCTTAGGTGTAGTGATTTTTTTGTAACTCAGCGGTTGGTCAACCTGAGACACCTCCTGACCAAGACCACCCAAAGTTATCGAAACGTCAAGTCATAGAAAACTGCCCTTAACGGCATGTTTTCCCATAATTAATCAACCCAAATAAATGTCACACAATGCACAATGTGTGTCGACTTCATTCATACGGAATTTAACGATATTTCGCGCGAAAACATAATAATAATGATGATGACTAATCGCTCAGCCTGTAAGACCCTTTCGGCGCCCAGCTGGCACTCGAAGGAAGCATGAGAACTGAGACATTTCCAATTCGCCCAAGCCTAGACAGGAGCAGGCGTGATGCCGGGGTTCGGCTTCAGCCACGAGCCTTCCGGTCAGTGAATATGATAGAACATATCGCTTGCTTTCCCAACTGAGTGAACTAACAAACGGAACCATCGAGAGCTTCGGTCATCTTTCTCGGCTGTGTACGGCTTGTCATGATGCAGTAAAACTGAACCTGGATGAGATCCCCAACTGCAACAAGAACTTAAGTGATCTTAACATGACGCTACTCGTAAGTTCGATGAAGACTTTTGGACAGCTATTTTTTGGGACTAATCAGGTGGACGTAGTCCCCTAATTCCCATCAACCGGTTGAGTCTCCCGTTAACATGTTATTAACTTGCGGAAGGGTGTTTATCCCCATCTGTGACAAAATTGATAGTCAAGCGCGAAATATTATCCGGCGGAAATCAGGGGAATTGACATTCATGATGGACAAACAGGTAGCACTTTTTTTTGCTTTTTTGCTTTGCCTTATTTTTCAACTGGCATTATGGTAATCGTGAGTGAAAGCGAATCGCAGGCTACGTTTCCTTCACCTTCTCTTGTGAACTGTCCTCTTGTTGGGAACTTCACCTGTCCATGAACCTTTGTCACATCTTCGTCGTTTTTACTTCGAGATTAGTCAATTAATAATGTTGGAAAAGTATCACTGTAGACAATACATGGAGGACCTTTTCAGTCCCCTAACACAATGCTAACTAGCTATGTTCATTAGGGAATTTCATTGTAAAGCCAAACGTGGCTTGATTATCTTAGTTATTATATATGGGCAATATCTACATCCAGGTTTCTACTCTTTCACCTATTTGAACATTTCCTCGCGTTTCCAGTTACTGTCTCCTGTCTTTCACGTACTGGTGAGCAAAAACGGTTCTAATTTTATTTCTTTCAAACCTCATACTTGTTGGTTCCAGTTTGGTGAATTCGTTCCCATACTTATCAATTTTTTCTGAAAGTTCTGGTTGGGCTGGTTCTTCAGCAGGTGAATGCTTCGATCGGATTATCTTTGAAGTATTGACTAACAGGTTTTTGTTCGGTTGACTCGTTAATGATGGCGACTTGACGCATGGTTATATCCTTTCTTGGTTGTACAAAACTTGACACAAGTGTATCTCAGCGATGCACTTTTGCACTCTCGCTTTATGTGCCGGACGATCCCACTGTTTTTTAATTCGATCTATTTGACTGTTTTGAACCGTTCTTGGTGGCTGGTGTCCAGTCCTGAATGGACCAGTGACCCAGATATCTACTTCTTGTGGGCTGGGTTCGATATGCCAAGGTGTCAGTTATCCTGAGGAATTGAACACTACCTCATGTATAACGTGAGCTCAAGTTCAGTTCCTAATATGCCTTCAACTGAAGCAAATTCGCAATGATTCATTCCGCTCATACACGGCATATCGTGAACAGAAATTTTGCGAACCGCAACTGGAATCCTCTACTTGTCTTCACCGCAGCCTAGTTCACTTTCATTAAGGTTATGTCCTCAGTATTACATGCCTTTTGTACATTTTGAATCCGGTTAAGTATATGCCATCAAGTACGGTCACAATGTAGTGGGGTAGTGTGGAACCGGCTCTTTACTCCGATCCCCCTGCCCACTTATTTTTCATTTGCTCAAGCACATTAGCGGTGGCTCTCGAGATATTGATGTCTGGTTCCCTTCACACACACTGGACTGAGTCTTTCAGCCTGATTGACACTGAAATGGCTACTTCCACAGGGAAGCAGCAATTGCGCAACTCGTCTAACAGTGACCGAAACCCGCGCACTGTCAAAACAAGCATGAATTTTCGGTATTTGCATGTCTGTCAGCAACCCGCCTCATCACATCATTCGTTTGTTTGCCTATCGTGAGGTTGTGAACCGGTACCCGTACTATGCGTGTGGGTGCTTCGCCCAATCCTCGGCGTACGTGGAAACAAGTTTCCAAGGATGGCATTTCACAGAAAACTGCCAAGCGTGTGTTTCTCTTTGAGCCCTTATCTGTGCACGATCGTGGGAATGATAGTGAAAGCTATGGTTATAAAAGCCTGGGATATTTCAATTTCATTGATTGCTTCCGCACAGGATATTGACCATCCGTTTTTGATCCATCTTTCAAAAGTGATTTATATGATTAAATGCTGGTAGTAATCCATCTCAGCATAGTCAGGCTAAACTTAGGTATCCTGCCACATGACCACCAACTTCATAGGAATGCTGACCTGATCACCACTGACGCTTCGCTCCTTGTGGCCGCAGACTTATTTTTGATTAACTTTCAACCAAGAAGATAAGCTGATACCGCTTCGCATACCATACTGCGATGGAGGCAGATGTCGTATACAAAACAGCCAAATACCAACCCGAAATATACATTTTGTGAGGTTTGGGGCAACTGAATAGGTGTACTAAGGAATACTGGATCCACTTGGGTGCAGTGGTGCATAATCTAACGTCTCTTAGACGCCGGGAGTCGCAATCGTAAAACGCATGTCCGCCTTCCGGTAACATATTAGGACCACCAAAATAAGTAATTGGAGCTGTAACTCGATGTTCTAGTGGAGTGGGGGCATCAACAGTAGTTGAATGTCGTGATAGCGAAAAACAGGCCTACGAAGCAGAGATCCTGCATCATTTTGGATATCGCTTGCATCGTAGCGCAATGTTAACTTTTTTGAACAATACCCTATGTAAATCAGCTACCTGCTGGGATTATATTTTCGTTAACCTGGATTTCGCCTTCCTATGAATACTTGAGAAATGCTCTGTTATCATACATTCACTGAAGAGAACGATCGAACTAGTGACCGCTGCTTTCTCCTATCTTGCTCATAGTTAGGTAGTTTTATCTCTTGGGTCACATAGAGCACTAACAGGTTGCAAGGTAACTACTCACATGGTTGCTGAAAACTCTTCGACAGCCCACGACCGGTTTCGCCCTTCTCGGGGTTCATCAGATAGGCGTGATCCCCGAGTTTCCGTCAACCTTATGTTCTACTTGAACCCAAATTGGACTGTTTTTGAGAAATACACTAATTTGCAAATCAGTTTGGTTTTCAGTGGAGGCTCAATTGAATATCTCGTTTATGATGTCCTCCAACTGAATGCGCTGCACACAGGCCGCCTCATGATTCAGCTGGCACGATATTCGAGATGTCGCCCCAAGAAGGGCGAAACCGGTTGTGGGCTGTCGAAGAGTTTTCAGCAACCTTGTGAGTAGTTTCCTTGATGAAAATATACTGCGATATCTTGAATATCATGCCAACTGAATCATGAGGCGGCCTGTGTACAGCATTCAGTTGGAGGACATCATAAACGAGATATTCAATTGAGCCTCCACTGAAAACCATGGAACGCAGCAGTTTTCAGTTTTCATCATAGTATTTCTGCCCAAACCTACTGGACACCTTGGCCTATCCTTACATGATCTTTAACCTTGTTCTGATGCGTAAGTCTCTTGTCAGTGTTGATATACTGCAAGTTAACATGAACGCGAACTATTTGTACCACTCAGACTGTAGAATCCAGGCAGGAATTTGGTAAGGTGCATATTAACTAACCTGTATAACACCACGCTTCACGTATTTCAGTAACGTTGTCAGTTGTAGACAGCGGAGTTCACGGTTATGGTGCAATATCGTCTGGTAACATCTTCTGGTCTATCGGTGCCCGTGATGGTGTTGATAACGTGCACTAAACGGCTTCGGTGGTAGGTTCGAAAATTAATCGCTGAGTTGCTTTCGTTTACTGTTGGTCGTTTGGATCACCTCACTGCCGAACTAACTGTTTAGAGACGGCTTTTCTTGTGCCTGCTTCCCGTCATTGAATGTCTCTGAAAGCATAACTTCATTGTGAACTGTAATCTGCGTGGTTAAGCACGCCAACGTTGTCCTCCCCATGTTCTCGTGATACTTTTGGTGCTAGCTTGCAGTTTTATTGAACCAGGTGTTTGTTATTCACATATTATTGGAGAACAGACTTGTCCATTAACTTCTCAACTGGTCATTGCAGATAAAAGCTCGGGGAGAACAGCTAAATGCGGTTGAAGCGATCGTTTCCGGTTTGTTCAGACTGTAAGGATAATGGGATCATACAAGTCAGTTATCGCAGAGCATAGCCACTTCATTTGGATGGCATTCACGGTCACCGCGCTAGCTCACCTAGAGTTGCTCACTGTCGTCTCGTAGATTTTCCGATTTCACCGGCCTACTGGTAAAATCTTACAACTTCCACCAGTCTTTTATCCTCTGCTATACTACCTCTGAATCCACTTTCGTTGGTTTGGTGTTTGAATCTGGAGACTTCCTGTCGCTAATGCTTAGATGTTAATTTTACTCTGTTCATATATTTTGTGTTTTATTTCCAAGCGGACGCTGATGCTCAGAATGAAAATGCAGAAACTGACGTAGTGTTGGTGGGAAAAGACCGCAAGGCAAGTCGAACGAAGAAACCCAAAATTGCCAAGGTCATTTACGACCCTGCACGACTTCCAAGCGAAAATAGGACCAGGTTAGTTTTCAGTGACCAAACGCAACTATTGTGAAACTAGGCCGTTGGTTGTTTATCGAAGGCGCGTAATCCTGCGTAATCGACAAGCGGTTCCAAAGGGCTTGTCACTTGACTGACAGTTATCTTGTTGATGTTTCGCGCGTTGGTTGAACTATTTTACGCGATGCAGATGGTGTAGTGGCTCAAACTTATGTAAAAGTAGGGCTTAACTGCCATTATATTTGTATCTGAGTGGTTCAGCGCTGTGTTGGGTGAGGTGCTGCCAGGGTGCCCAAACCTGGACAGCGGGACGATTAAATTCCTCATCCTTGTTGTTCAAATGGCTGACTATGTTGCAGTGTTGGTTTGCACAAGACTAGCAAACTGGTCCAACTATTGGGGAACACGTTGCCGTGCGCTTTCGAACCCACTAACCCAGAAGGCCACGTTACAGTGTTAGTCAGATCTCTACCCATTGACCAAACCGGTCTGGAAAGCTGTCATGGGCCACTCCCAGTATAGCTCAATGAGTCATGGCATCTTGGTAAGGTCTAGTATATTTGTGACACTGTAGCCCGAATTCACAAACAGTCCTGCCCCATAAGTTTTTGGCGATTCCCAAACTTCATGTGGAGGTAATAAAAAACCTACAGCTAAAGTCACAGCTTTATATACTGCGACTGATGTGTTTCCAATTCTAGTTGATTTCTTAGTATTCCATCTGATAAAGCTTCGGCAAATCTGTTCAATCTTCACTAGACGGATAGCTAACCGATAACTCATTTCTCACGGTTTATTGATAAATTATAGCGTTCTGGGCTATGAAGCAAACAAGGATCAGTAACTATGGAAGGGAGCATGCTCCATCCGATCCTCAGGCTGACAGTCACAGGTGGACGCATCAACATCCAAACCTACTGATAAGCAACTGTTAGTAAGAGTGAGGGTTCAACAGATACTCGTCATTTCCGTTCCATGGGTGCGTCTATACCTTCTACGACTCGGTCCAAGCCAGTAAAATCTAGTGAACCTTCCACGATTTCGCGATATACGGCAGTGACGCAACAGTGCCAACACTGATGTTGCTGTCTTTGGTGATGATGATGATGATGTTTTCGCGATACCCTTTTGTATATCCTCGTCATCTTGCGTTTCGATTACTTTTTCACTGCAGACAATATTGACCCTGTACGTATGCTTAGTGCGGTGCTGATTGTTGAGGTTAGAAGAGAATTGTGTTGTAGAAAAATGACAAGCAAGTGAGCACTCTTCAATTTGCAGTGGTTATAAAGTGGACTTTGACAGATTAACGGGTCTCATTTTAGCATATCAGTGAGAAAAATTCGTTGTGAAGTTTGGATCTTCAGTTCGCAAGCTTAGCGCTAGTATAACCATGCGAAATAGGTTTTGCCTATGCGGCGTGAGTTTTAATGTTTGTTGGCTCAGTATCCATTCAGTTAATGAGACCCAGTTCAGCAAACTTCCTATTTCATCGACCTTCTATTCTGGGACCCTCATTCACCATTCAGTCCATGTTAAAGGAAGGATGTGTGGTACTGTAGTAAAGCTGCAAGTTACCCGACTTCAGAAAATCCAGTGGTTACCTCGTTAGGAAACGCGAGACAAAAAACGGAGGCATTTTTAGATTCATATTCCGGGTCGCGTTTCTGATGTCTGTGAAATGGACTGTCTCCACTCCGTTAAAAAATAGTCATGATCTTACGACATTTACATAATTGTCAGGATCGTCTTTCAACTATCGGAGGGTAAAAGCTGGGTAGAGAATGATAGAAGATATGGTGAGCCCAAATTAATGATGGATCACTCCATGTGGCCCAGGGGTATTAGTGCACTACAATTTTTCGGCACAAAAACTGACAGATTTGAAATGCCCGCAGGTCTGTCAACAGTATGGTGAAATCAAAATCCCAATATCCGTCTCATTTGTGACTGATAACTGTCTTATGCAAACAACGGAGCTTTCTGGTTTACAGCACCCGTGCAATCTACGCAGAATACCGTGTTTACCTCCAAAGCGCATTCGCTCACTGGTTTGGTAGTTTCAATCCGTCAGTGTTCGTACAATATTTCTCCCAGTAAAGATAAATCTACTACAATAGAATGAACCTACAAAAAGCTTATGGGAAACGCGTGTCATGGCTACCTCGGGCAGTGAGAGGAATCGTTTTGAGGAGTGTATTACTGGGTAATGCTAGAGTGACAGACCACCAATATGCATTTAGTGGTATCCCAGGTATTTGAAGTAGGTGAGAGCACAGATGGGTTGGATGCAGTTGACGACCTCAGACAACTTTTGGTTTGGATGAGTTGGATGTCGGATGCCTGTTTTGTGTGTGGTACAACGAACAGCCATAATGTCGTCATATCAGTGTTCGGTGACTCTGATGTGAACGGCTGAAAAATTCCCTGTGTCATCCAGTCATCATTGACTTTGAATTTTAAAATAAACTCAACTATCCCACTATGTTCAGACTCCCATATCTTTGGTGTGATGCAGCGTCTCATCGATTGGGCTGCATTTCTCGCTCTACAGTGTTGAACACTGCGATTAGATGCACAATGACTGATGTACTGTGGTTCGATGAACTAATCTGTCACCGTTCATTCCCGTCCCGCTGCATCCAGCGAATGACACGTTCCTGACGGTGACGGAATACGCCGTGGAATGGTATCATGTTCGGCTATACAATGAATAGTTTCGACGGGCTAGGACACAACAGGTTCCCAAATGTAGACTAATGTACAACTAGGGGTTTGGTTGACTTAAGGCCACTTTTTACAAGAAAGTTTGTTGTAAATCTGCTCGTCCAGTCTGGTAATTTGCTTACAGACGTTGGGTGGGTCCTGCCCAAACGCTTATTTATGTGTCCCCACGATTGATGACAAAGCGTTTGCAAACGAATTGCCAAGCTTAGTGAACGGATCGACAGCTACCTGACCTGCAAACGTCAGTGCGCCCGAGCTGCCAGTATTTCTACGTAATCGGGGATAAATTAGCAGACCTTTTAGGATCTAAGATGAAGGAGCAGTTGGTTGATTTCGACCGACTTGTGTCCATTGACGAACGTTGTACACCATTTTTCGTGTCACACGAGCATTCATTCATTTCAAGTGAAGTGGAGTAACATATAGCGCCACGCAGATCGTCGCACCGAGATTAAGTCCTCTTCCAGTCACGAACAAAATATTCCCTCCTACACGATAATTCTGGTAGTGAGAGACTTGTTGTTCTGCAAAGCCTTACTGTTGATCACACTTCTGGATTGGTACACTAGTCCTCCTCCCATACACGGGTTTTCTTCTGAAATCCTTGCTGGAGGTTAGCAGTAGCAGCACCTCTTCAGGAAGATTCTAACATTCATGTTGCCGTCAGTAGCTGCGTACTATGCCGCTCGGTTACAAGCGACTGGTTTCCAATGTGACTGGCTCGCAATTAAGCAGGATAGAGCACCTCATTCGTTGTTTGTTAATATCATCAGCAATGATAGAATATTATTGGGATTGGCTAAGGTGTTGCTCATTAGTTAATATTTTACACTTGAGATACTACTTAGCCCAGAAGTATCACACGAACCGAGATGAATTCCGAAAAAAAGATCGTCGACCAGATCCCACGTGATTATTTGCCCTTAGAATCATTCTTTGTTTTCCTTATAGCGTCTTAGCTCTCACCGCCTGATTTTTGCTGTTGTCCACATGTTAGGTCATATTTAGTTTTTTTAACACTGCCTCATACTTTCCAACGCAGGAACGGAAGTTTGGCGCGTAATACTTGGCCGAAAGGGGTCCTCTCAGAAGGCGTGCCTAACAGTGCAGCGGCCAATGCAACAGTTTGCAAGGAGCAGTACCGACAAAAAGCGAGTAAACAAATGAACCTGCTTCCGTCTCAGTGGACTGATGTTCGCCAAACGCTCTATCAGCTTTACAATCGTGAAGTTATTCTGGAGCCCACTCATCATCCGGAATCCAACTTACCACCAAATGTCAAAGGAATAGAGGTGAGTGGTTGCCATACTCATAACCTTCAGCTTTAAAAACTGCCTGCATGTTGTACAGTAGTAATAGGTGTCACGATTTCCGGAGGGACAGGGTGTGGATAGCTTCGAATTAGTGGCAGTAGTTGATCTGATTAACATATGGATCCAAGAGTGTTAATGCAATTTTCACTGGGGAAACCATGGGGGGAGTTGTGCATTGAAGGCAACAGCTTGAATGCGTGTGTGTGATTGGGCCACGTTTCTCAACGTCTCTGGCCATGGGCGTGTCCCTTCTCGAGCTCCCCATTCCGAGGAGACGGCAATGGGCAGCGCATCTGATTTCGGTGGTAATGACTTTCATACTTAATCGCTTGACCTCCCCTGGTACGTTTCACGCTCTGCGTAGTTGTGCGAAAAGTGTTCCGAGGAGGTCAGTCGGCTGACGTACGAAGCATGTGACCAAGCGAGCTCAACCCGTGGAGTGTCGTCAGGCGAGTGATCGTCAGTTAAAATTTGTCATTTCTCCTATCGGTTTGGAACTGTGGCCCGATGCTTGTAAGCTATTCGCGACTTGATCAGCCTAGTTCCTGAGTATTGAGCTCACGTCCCCGATTTTAACTCACCGCGAAAAATATGCACCTGGACATGGCTGATTCGATCATGTTGGATACCATGGTTATGAAGATAATTCTACTTGATTCTGTCTTGGAGATTTTTTAGTCCATTCATTAGTCAGTATCGTGTTTCAGGTACTGCCTCTAGTCTTTGTACAATATCAGAAAGATGGGGTCTATGGATGGTTCTGCAACTAATAAACATTCGGAAACTGTAGCGTTAGTATTGTGGCCGTATATTTCTTCCACCCTAATCGATTGCGTCAACAGCCACCAATGAGCTAATCTTCTGACCTTGAATGCAACTTCCATGTATATGGGCCACAAAAATTCGTCAGAGTGGAACCTTTGGCACTTTCATTGAACGGTCTAAATGTCTTGTTCCGAATCATCCACGATGAACAGCCATCTGGTGGGGAACACCCCTGCGCACTGAACCGGTCGTCTTAAAAACAGTCAGCCGCATCACATGGTGGGTACTTCTGGCTCACAGTGCTGATCAAACAGATTCGTGTACTGATTTGATTCAATTACCTTGTCACATTTGTCAACGTGTCAATTAGATCAATCTCTTACGGAGCACAGCTGAAGAAACAGAAGACATTCGCAATTCGGTTGACCTGACTTCTTTTTCACTACACACCGTCTGCTATTCTCTATTGACGGAGTTGAAGGCATGAAACATCAGCTGAGAGCTCCGTAGTTCAACCTCGACGCTCGCATTTCCTATGGCTTACTTGCCACGGTGCATTGAAGGGATGCTGTAGCCTGGATAATGTATCACTCCCGCTATCTGCTGAAGGAATTTTTTGTCGCTCAATTTGAGTAGCTCGTCTTTAGTTCGTTCGTTCGGGACTTGTATGACACAGTGGCATTAATCAGTGGCCAGTTCCTGCTGGTGTCCTCCAGCTACTGTCCCTAATTTGAGATTCGATGTTCATATCAATTTATGTCTAGAATAGTGCTGACCTATGAGGACTATGTTTTGATAATTTTGTTCCGCAGTTGGACTCCCAGTGAACATGTTGTTAAGTTCTCTGTAATCCGAACAGCAAATAAACATCTTAACGAAGGCGCAAAAGCGTCATTTTGTTATCGTTTCGGAAACGGTGATTGTGCGATGCATTACGGGACGATAGGTGACTACGAAATCAAAGTGATCTAGTAGTTGGATGCCGATCTTTCTGTTGTTGTTCTCGGCATCAACTGGATCCTGTTCCGTATCTCATTAGGTAGGTATCATTGTTGCAGTTGTGCTTCTGGAACAATGGAGGTCTAGGCGGTTACATGACGGATTGGCCTGAATCCCTGACCCTTTGTCACAGTGTTTTGACGGCTCCTTCTAACACAGTTGCATCCTCCAGTAGGAATCAAGCAGAAGTTTCTCTCTTCATATTCAGAACATGGACGAAAAGTGATCTATTTCCGAAGGGTGACTTTCCTGAAAGAGACAACTGTGTTCTGTCATAAGTTGGTCGTGTCGAACGACTTGTGTAAATCCTATTTCTCCTCTGCTATTCAAACGCAACAAATGAACCTGTTCTACTATTGTCAAAATCTCAGAGCTGTTTTCCCCTCATTCTACATTTGTGGTCCATTTCGCTGATCCTTGTTTGACTCTTAGTTATGGTCACGTTACACAAACAACATTTGGCTTCTGTACTCCTGAACTTCCATTTTACCCGATGATCTCGCATAGCGATTTTACTCCATTGGCGACGCATATGCTACTGTGGTGTCGTATCACGTCATTTTTTACAGCCAGGCGATATGGGCGTCGCGCATCCCAATTCTGAGTTCTGTGCAATCCTGGATCACCCCGACGGACCGCATACTATCGCACTTGATGCCATGGACGATAATCATTTGGATGGCGAACCACCAGACTCTCCCATCTGTGTTGGTGATGATGATGATGACGATATGGGACTTCCATTCCAAGGTGTATTCACTCAGGTGAGTTGCTCATTCCCTTTTTGGTCAGATTAAAAGTTTCTTGGCTTCATGAAACAGAAGTTGGCAAAGGCTAGTCTGTCTTTGTTTAGTACGACTAAAGTGATAAGTAAGCTTAAAATTCTCGCTAGACAGAACGATCCTTGGATCGATTAGACAGATGCATTGGTCAATAGCCCATCACGGTTGACACAAGCCCCTCATTTGAATTCCTGTTTGATTGATCTGGATCGATACCAGTTGAAGTGCCCAAACGAGTTGCTTCTGAACACTGGTATACGAAGTTACGGTAGCCGATGATGTTCGGGTCTACTGTTCCTAATATCTGTTCTCTGGTAAGGTTTGGATGGCTGATCATACAGTTCACATCTGCGCGTTATGTTTAGCGCAGATGCAAGACTAATGATTACATTTCGGTCGGCATAAAAAAAACAAATCAGGTGAATATTGCCAGCCTCTCTGCATAGGTTCATGGTTTTCTTAATGATGATCTCGCTCTGTTCACTAGAAAGCTTCCTGGTGCAACACCTGAATACCCCACCAAAATAAATTACGTACTAGGCCAGCTCCATCTGAAAGATATCCACAACAATGAGAGATTCTGCATGTTTTGGGAGTTCACTCATGTCCTCTCCCTAGTATTTTCAAGTGGTATTATTTGTTTACTTGTCTATTTATTTATTATTGCGATTTGAAACTAGACCGTGCGTTCTCTACTCTTTGGTTGTAGTTCCTACAGGGTGTCGGGGAGGTCTTAGTTTAGGTTGGCCCACTGGCATGATCCTAGACTGGACAGAAATTCCGGGTTTTCTCACTTTAAGGGGCGAGTTTGAGTGTCCTCGTGCAGTACCACATAAAACGACTGAGTTTCATCTTCCTTATATGTACTTTGAAGTCATCTGAGAATACAGTAGAGAGATGGTTGAATCTAGGGTGGAAATATGTTTGTAGGTTGACATATATCGAATTCTCCATGCCATAGTACACAGCAACTTTGCAGATATCACCCAGGTTCAACTCCATCTGCAGTGTATTAAAGCAAGCGAACTGCCCATGCTGCGATCAGTCTGTAGGAGCGGTTCGGAATCGACCAAATTCATTGAAATCAGCTGTTACTGTTCTAGGCTATTCCTACATACAATTAGCCCTTGACAATAGACAATTGGGGTATCAGTGCACTCAAGCTTCGATCCAATTTGCTCACTTATCACGCGTTCTACCAGTCAAGCTGTACAAATGATCACTTGCTTTCATCGAAGTGCTTTTCGTTGCAACTCCCATGTCTAAACACCTGAGCTTCATTTGACCGCTGTTATGTAGTTTCCCTACCGAGAAGTCGTAATTCACATGACTACCGAAATAACACCACTTTCCGTATCCTTTGCCCGGCAGTTTACCAATGCTCAGGGTGAATTCACTACTCTTGGTGGACTCGACCTAGTATCCCAGCCACGAAAGGTTGCACGCATTGAAATAGACTATGCTCGAACTGCAAAGATGATCAACGTTCGTCGTCTAAAATTGGCAATGTGGAATTTCCTCGAACATACCCTACCACATCCGCTCAACGGTGCGCGGTCTCCAATGTCTGTAGCCTCCACTTCCTCCGCGCCTGATGGTGCCAGTCTAACACCATCACTTTCGGGTGAAACGGCAGCTGCCCCAGAAGTTCCTGGCCCTCTCGCTTCAGAATCCATTACGTCACCCCAGATGGAAGGTCATCCGGATGTCAGGGTGCCTGGAGCAGTTAGCTTCCGAACTCTTATCGGCAGTCTATCCAGTCGAATCAGCTGGCAGATGGCCAAAGAACTCAGTATTCCTATAGCCTTCAATTGCCTATTGCACCTGTCTAATGAGAAGGTGAGTTTGCGGCCTATTTCCTATTTTCTGCCTATTTTCTTATTGTTTCAAAAGTCACCATAGTTTATCCCTCTCATCTTATTCTCCACGCTTTGTCCGGTTAAGACTACGTCACATAAATTGGTTGTACGGATACTCAGTCCTGGCATCCCAGAATCGATTCCTACGCATGAATTGACTTGTTGTGATCGTTTTGCTACCGTCCCTCGCCTTCATTCTACAGTATTCATATGTGTGTTTCCTCGGAGTTAATGCTCTTGTTTTCGGTCGCCTCATGTAATTTGCCTATTAGTGAAATGTGAATTCCAACTTTGGGCCCTCACAATATCAAACGTTCGGACGCCTATACCACGCTTTCACCGGGAGAAGTGATTATCACAATTTATCCTCAACAAAATTCCGCTAGATAGCTCCCTGTGAAAATGTAACCGAACTTTGAATTTTCCCGACTGCATCTTGGCCGGGCATAAATTCCCTTCGCACTCAGTATGATGCGTGACATTAATTAATTAATTAATTAATTAATCGTACTGCAATCCTTCGGATCGAGCTAAATGGCTCGCTCCAAATCTAGCTCTTTTCTGCATGGTTGTAGAACCATGCAGATTCTTCGTCGTCAAAGGGCGGCACTCTTGTTCAACTTCGTCACTGATGAAATAATGAGGCGAACAATGGACAGTCTTCAAAACCCCGGTGTTCAAATTGTTGCTGATGAGAGCCCTGTCGATTTGGAGTACGCTGATGAGATCGCTCTCAACTTTGAAGACCAAAGCGAAGCACAACCCCTGTTGAATAAACTGACCACCATCATACCATCTTTTGGCATGCGCCTTGCACCTTCAAAGTGCGAAATGCTTCAGAACGTGCCGTCTGCGAACATACCCCTTATAATTCAAGCAGAATCACCGGAGATTGTGGAAAACTTTACATACCTCGGTAGTTGTACTAGTTCTGACGGAAGTGTGTCTGATGAAGTCAGTGCAAGAATCTCAAAGGCTCGAATCACGTTTGCTAATCTGCATCACTTGTGGCGTCAAAAAGGCATCTCACTGGATCTTAAGGGTCGTGTGTACCTGGCTACAGTAAGGGCTGTGTTGTTGTGTGGGTGCAAGACATGGCCTCTGCGGACAGATGATGTGAGGCGTCTTCAGGTTTTCAACCACCGATGCCTCAGAAGCGTGGCTGGTTTTGGATGGCGTCAGCGTGTCAGTAACGAGGTGATTAGGAAACGGGTATTTGTCTTTTCTGCTTCTGGAATCGCGCGCGATCTACCCATGAACCGTTCACACATTCTCTGACTGTTCGTTGTGCGATGGGTTCATAACGAAATAGAGGTTTTTCATCATCCCATCACTTGAATTGCTTGTTTCTGCCCTCATACCTTGTGGCTGATAATTCAAGCACTCATTTCAGTCGATATAGAAGCATTTTTATTTCACATGGAATAGTTCCATATGACATCTTGAGCACTATTAATACAAGTCAAGCATTTTCAACGATTTCCGAAAGAATGAGGAAGTGTGGAAATGTTTAATTAAGCACTTGTCCTGTAATTGAATTCAAGCTATGGTGAAAAGTTGGGAAGAAACTGCACCACTGTTTCATCCTTACTAGTTGTACTCGCCCCCGTAAACTCCAGCGAATTTGGGACCCGCGTACTTTCGGCTAGTACAGTTTGAACCCCTGACTGTTTGGCCATCAACATCTGATCAACAGTGTGATTAGCTGTCATCGAGACAGGGTATGGCACAATTCATCTTTGATTTATGAAATTCGACTCATACTGTAAACGATTATTCGGCCTTATCGTCATGATACGTGATCTTTTTGTAGGCATGTAGAGATGGTTTTATGTAGTCATCTGCCTAGTCCACATTGGTAATACTGCGCGTGCCTAATTCTAACAAAGCGAATGATTAAATAGTCGCAGACAGAAGAACCCAAAGCAGGATGTTGTGTTTTGCCTCAAGGACGATTCCAAAACAAAAACTAATGTCTACATCCGCGTGTAATCCTTACAGAGTTGACTATCCTTACTTATTCATCCATTCGAATGCACCTGTTGGTTGCGTTTTTCTCCCAACTGGGCAGCGTTGGGTCCTTCGGTCTGATATTCAAAATGCCGAAGTATTTTTCTACAAACCGAGCAATAATTTGGTGTTATTAGATAGTGCGGAGGTTTTGCAGCACCCGATCTCGTGATACAAACCCATTAGGTTTTATAACTATCGGTCATGTGTTTTCACTTGTTTCACTTGCTACTGAAGACCTATACTCAGAATGCAACCTGAGTGGGATCATTTGAAGTCCCTCCTAGCGAGCAATCATACAAACACTCCTGATGGTTTTGGGGAGGAAATAAGCCTGGGCCATGCTATTTTTTACTTTCCAAAATAAAATGGTTTCCACCACGCTACTCATAGGATTGCTGGCAACCCTTCGAACATCATCATCTCCGATTAGAATCAATTTGGTGTGCAACTGAGTGTATTTCACGAATGGTTTTCACTAGTTTGAATATTTCCACCTTCGTTTGGAGCCTTTCTGTGTCGATTAAATCAAATCTACTACGGCACATTACTTCTGGCCATTGAGACGTTAGGCTATCCTTGGTGCGACTTAAAATATCCCAGCTTAATCCCCTTGAGCAGCTGTACTTTTCATCTTGAAGCCATTTTTTTTGTCTATCTCTCGATTCCTTCTTTTTGTCCATTTTATTTTAAATCGCTCTATTTGTTTAACCGTGTTCTAATACTTCCTGTTTTCCACTCCATAGGATTTGTATCTGGAACCAGTTCCGGGTTTTTCGGACATTTTCGTTTCCCAAGGTTTACCCGAATTTGAAATCGAAGCGCTCAAGGTGTATCAATCTGAGCACTTCCATTATGATGAGATAGGTCCAGATGGAAGTGCCAAACGACATTCTCGGTCGGATAACGTCAGACAGAAAAAAGCCAAGCGACATCGAGCGTCTACTTTGGATTCTTGGCTAGTGGATGGAGAACCGGATGGAATGCAAAGTCCAGCTTGATTTTATTCCCCTTATTCCCATCATCTGTTCGTTCCACCGCATTTATCCCTCCTCCAATGCCCAGGGACTGCTATTGCTCAGTGTTTTCCGTTTCTCATCCACATGTGAACCTCCATTGTTTCTCCCTCCTCAAACACTTGTACACAACCACTGGTTCACTTGCTTGTATTTGTTGTAAAATAACCCCAACGAATGTGTACTGGTTCATGCATCATCGTCAGAACTGAGGCTATTTTTGTATAGTTGCTAAATTGTCTCAATAAATATACATATTGTTATTTGCTATCCCCGATTGCCGTTCTTTGCCCTCCGTTTCGTTCTTGTTCTGTTCGGACATCTTCCATGTGGCCTGTAAGAATCAATCGATTTTTGTATATGGCTCAGATCGAGAAGGCTGACTGTGAAAGATTGTGTCCCATTGCTGCTTCCTCAGACGGACAACCTGTCCTAAAATAAAGTTTAAGACCTCCGGTGAAGGTATTTTGAGTCATGTTAATTTAGTCTGCTCTAGAACAGTAGGTCAGTAGACACTCAGGCATGTTTTTCACCGAAGATGCCGTATCTCAGCACTTTTGGGCACCAATTACTTCCTAAACTCTTCCGCTTCATTCGGCTACCAGGCACCTTGTCTTCTGCGAACTTTTGCGTTCGATTTCATTAAGGTCTTCAACCATTGCTGAACGAGCAGTCCTTAGCGATTTATACCATAACTGACCTAGAAGGCGTGTGTGAACCATGCACTCTCAACTCTGATGACTATCTGACCTCAGGTTGACTCACATTTTTGGTCCCACTACGGCTGCATTGTTCTGGCTACGAATCGTTCCGTTCCGTATTGCCGGTCAAAAGCCTGTTGCGCAATAGATAATCCACTAACCCAGATTGGCGCGCCTGCTTACTATTTCATGCGTCATTACTTTTGTGATTGAGTAAGTGCACTGAGTAATAGTACGGGCTAACTGTCATCAGTGATTACAACACCAGTTATCAACAATGAAACCTTGTCATTTATTTATTAGGAAAAATCTTGTTCTGTGAACAGTATTCGAAAAGGTGTGAGAATGTACACGCTACCCAGCCCAACCGCGTAGGTTGAAACCTATGGCGAGAATAAGATCTGCTCACATTCATGTCTTGTAACGTCACTAGTGCAAGAACGGTAACACACAACCCACCTTGACACTAATAAGAATCTTCGCTCCACTGAGTCACGCAATTTCCACTTCTCTAATTGCATGACTCCAGATATGGCCTAATCCCAGCCTGTTGCTGCTGGGATGCCTCAAGTGTAAGAAACACTGCATCTAGCTTCCTCAAACCCCCGAGAGAAAACAAATCTGTGTTGTGCGAAATGGCGCTTCAAGTTCATCTCCTATTCATCTTAATGAGAAAAATCTGGGACTCTTTACTGCCCGAAAAATTTCCAATTGTTGCGCACCTGGTTAAAAAGTTTCAACTGTCGAGCTTAGAATAAGTAAGTTGTGGAGAACACCATGAACGTTCATTCAAGATATCATCTGATCAATATGTGACGAAAAGTGCTGTGGAGGTCCTTAGGCGTATCTGACAAAATCTCGCATTCGCACACGTGTTCTTTTAACGTTAAATTATGAAAGCTTACCTCTGAGCTAGAGGTTGCAGCTAGGCGTGGTGGTAACTTCATATCAGCTTTCACAAACTGTCGGGAAAAATGTTGGAAATTCGCAGTTGATCCTTCGGGGTTGGGAATTTGCGGCGCACCCGGCCAAGGTGGGTCGCATCGTTGTGTATCGGTCTTTCGTTAACTCGGACGAAAGACGTACTGCGGAAATCTCCAGGTTTAACCACCGTTCGGGACCAGATTACTATTTCACTTGCTGTCCAGATACGGTTAGTCCGAAAAATTGCTGCTTTGAATCTTTACAGATTACTGTAAGAGAATAACTGGACTAGCCGTCGACCAGCAAATTTTGCAATAGCCTCCGAATACAGGGTTTGGCATCCGGATTCCAATGTCCTCAGCAGTTGATAATACTTCAGGTGCAACTGTTCGTGCTTGCTTTGATGACTCGGAGGGCATTTCTTTTATCGTAGGATGATCATCGGCTATATATATATATATATATACATGTATATATATATATGATACGACAGCGTTTGAGCTTGTGTTCCTTGTTTCACTTCTCAACAAGCGGAATGAGGATTCGAAGTCCGTGTGTGCTAAGAAGACTTTAAAAGTGGAGCTGGCCTCGATCAGTATACTAACTACAGGAAACGAAGCTTATTTCTCGCCTCCGCAACTTTTTCAGCCAACTACAGAGACTTCTAAAGTCTTCTTAGCACACACGGACTTCGAATCCTCATTCCGCTTGTTGAGAAGTGAAACAAGGAACACAAGCTCAAACGCTGTCGTATCATATATATATATACATGTATATATATATATGATACGACAGCGTTTGAGCTTGTGTTCCTTGTTTCACTTCTCAACAAGCGGAATGAGGATTCGAAGTCCGTGTGTGCTAAGAAGACTTTAGAAGTCTCTGTAGTTGGCTGAAAAAGTTGCGGAGGCGAGAAATAAGCTTCGTTTCCTGTAGTTAGTATACTGATCGAGGCCAGCTCCCCAAATAGTGGAGAATTTTCCCGAGAATTCGAATCAACTCCACATTCAGTCTTCACGCCAAATACAAATGCGACACCATCCTCAACAGTATTCGGGACGTAGAATGAATGCAGGATCACTACACTGGTGTGGTAGAAATTCTGTCAGCCTACAAATGGCTAAATTCCTATCTGTACGTCCACCAGACTTTAGCCAAGAGATTCACGGTAAGGGAAAGGAAGTTTAAAAAATGATTTCAACCGTAACACCCTTTTCGTATATATGCGCCATGTAACCCGAGAGCTGTTAACCAATTCGGCGCACGGACTAGGTCATTATGTAAATCGCTAGCCCTCTAGCTTTGAATGACCGACAGCTGCTGATTGGTACTCACCAAAGGGGGTTGGCTACCCGAATCTGTCGTTCGTATAGTTGCGAATATATAATATTCAGTTGGTCGAGCAATAGGCAACTTATCTAGGCGTTGCAAACATTGGATAAAGCAGAAAAAGTGTGTAATCCAGGGGGGTTACAAGGTCGTTCTCTTGTTGGTGTAAGGTGGCGAACATTTTGGTCATTTTTTCAGGGCGTTATTGGCTGATGTGAATGGTTAGAAACCAAGAATATTATTGTACCAGTGCAGTAATAAACTAGTGGAAAACCGTTTTAGTTCCAATCTTAGATTTCACGCTGCTACGTGTCACTTGAAGCTTTTATCCTGATCCAAGTGCAAGTTTGCTGCATCGTTGATCAAACATTAGTGACTGCATTGTAGTGTTCGGGTATTATTCCGAGCATTGCAAGTTCGTACCTCCTCTGAGTTCCGTCAGATGCTCATTGCTGATGACTTCTAGTAAGAATTAAAGAATTGCACTTCGCTTCTCGATCCTTCTGTACAAACAAACTTCACTTACTAGAATTTCAGCTAATTGCTTTGTATGTCCTGTTATGTTTATAAACTACTGTAATCCAGTCGAGCACTACGAGAAAGTAGTGAACGACCCTAATTGCCTACACTGTGCGACGTTCCTATTTGAAAGACTTATTGGTTTAGCTCACTGATTCTGTATTTTACTTACCCGATTTACATAACATCACAGACCCTTCTCACCCGTCTCAATGGTGTGTGGCATAGCATCTCTGAGTTGCACAAGGCATTCCTCCGTTAACGCGATCTTAATTGACTGTGATAAGCAAATAGAACACAAACTTGACGATACTATGTTCGTTAAATGCACACATTCAGAAGCATATTAAGTGGTTAGGACTTTACACATTCTTCAAGTGATTGTCCTACACGAGGGCCACCTCATCCGTCCCTGCGGCGAATATTCAAGATATCGAATTGTCTCTGACACGAAACCAACAAGTGACGATAGTACTGACAATAGCCGGTTGGTTTTGCCCCCTCAGGAACCCATCACACGGACGTAGCCTCACTTTACAACTTGGTGTATAGCTATGCATGTCTCCATTTTGATATTCAAGTGCGAATTAGGTTGGGAAGAACTGTGGGACCACACCTACCTGACGCTTCCTAAAACTAAAGCCGACAGCGCGATGCTAAGGGCTTTGGTTGACCTCATGACTCGCATTGTACGGGCAGGATGTCACTTTACTTTGTTTCGTCAATGGGGCAAAGTCGTTCCAAGGATGCGTTCCACGCATTTGTATGCTCCTTTTGGTTGTATATAGATCGATGAGCGAACAAAATGAGAAAAGGGAGACACTCTTTGCCACTGTAAAATGCCTACACTCCTCGAATGATATGGATTTATAACTTGAAGTCAGTCTATTCCGAGAAGCACTCAACAGCTGCTTTAACCCTATTAGGAATTAGCGGCAGTGGGTGCTCGATGAACATCCAGTGAAACTTTTGGTCGCTTCCTCCTGGCTAGCAGTTGGAGACTAAATTGTTCGACCAATCAGTAGATTGATTAAGTTGCGCTTCCCTGATCTCCTCAAAAACATAGGAGGAAAGAATAATCCACATGATGCGTAGTCCATCAGAGAAGCAGTCGTCTGAGGATTCAGTCAACACATGACTGCTTGATTTGAACCCGGTAGCTGGCGCTCTGCTTTGTCTCCGTATCGGTTAATGGCAGTGCCGCTCAACTTCCCGTGGCCGAGCAACTCCTTTTGCCTAGTACCCGGTGCCAGAGTGTGTCCTCATAAACCACTGAGAAATGTCTGTCTAACTAGCATTTCCACCGCCTCATCGTGCTGCAGTTTTTTGTGAACTGAACCAAACGTTAGTTTGTACTGCGTAACTGCCTGAGCTCATCTCAATCCTAAGGATTGTCATTTATGGGGCACCGGAGTCGGCTCTGTAAAAATAACTCAAGTTCGTAAAGGCGTTTCGCACGCCGTACCATACTTTGCCTCACCGCGTACGTGAACTATAGGACTTCTTCTTACAGTGACCTATAGCAGAGTGTCACAGAAGTACAGTTTCCGGAATTGACATCGACTAATTAACGTGCTCTGCCTACACATTTCATGGAAGTATATGGTTGCTTGTGACTTGGTCTACTGCAATGTCGCTAATCCAGTTAGTTTACTGTTCTAGGTGGCACATAATGCTTCTTAGTCGGCACGCTACCAAGGCACAGTGGTTTCGCGTCAGTATTCGGTCATCTTTTTTGTGAGGACACTTGTCTAGGTTTGACCTCTACTTAGAGGTAGGACATATAAACTCCTGTTTTGTATATTCTTGTGTCCGTGACGTCTCAGCTGCGTGTTACTACCTCTAAGAAATATGGCATCGTTTCTGTGCCCTCATATTTCCCCCTCTCAACAAGCTTACGAAAGAATGTAACAGTAGGACAAAATCTGTTGCTTAACAATCCACTTTAATCAACAACGCCGGAGGAGCACAGTAATGCTTCTTGTAACGGGACACCTCTCTAGGGTACCTAAATCTCCCCAAGTGCAAAGTGTTCTTTTCTCGGTGGCTTTGCGGATACATATTCAAATACCCACCAGCAAGCAGTACATTGTCCCGAAACTGTTTTGATACGTTGAATCGGAATAACCTCGCACGCCAGCTGTATAACGCCCCTTTCTCCAGTACAACCGTGTGGTTAAGCACGGTCATCTGACTGTTTAGTTGTTCTCTTTACTACGTGACTACCTCACTAAAACGACCGAACTCACCCGGCTTTTTCGATGTCCCGATTGAGGGAGAGCAAGGTTGGAGGAAATAACTCGTTGTTTTTCATGCATCTAGCAAGGTGTCTGCTTTTAAAGATCTCTGTGTTATTGATTCCCAGGATGTTGCGCCTGCATTATGCTCATTGATAGGTCTTTGCTATGCAGCCATATTCGCTAAATGTTTGAGACGCTTTCTGGGGATTTCCCTCTCCTTTACACAAGATGTGAGGTTGAGATCATTCAGAAACAGTCACGTGAGGAAAACAAGTGAACCACAGTCGTTCTTTCCTGTAACTCACTATGACCACATGGTCTTTTGCCGCATGCGTTACGAGGTATTTCTTGATGACTGTGATATCTAGGAAATCAGATTTAGTTTTTAACCTCAGCATCTTATCGTGCAGTTGTGTGCTATATATTGCCGTACTTCTGGTGGGGGCATGCTGTAGGTCCTCCATATTGAAGTTTTAGTGCAACAATCCCTCTATCCGAAGGATTGCCACATTTTCGAATAAGCACAACTTTATTATTCACGGAGTATATTGTGGTTCCGATATTTAACGACCTGAAGCTGCTTTTATATTTTCCATTTGGAGGAATCACTTGTTTTCATTCGAATAGCTTACCATCCAAAGTGAGAGGACCGTTTGATGCTCACACATGACAAAGTTGACGGGAGCTCGGCTATTACGTCTGCCTGGTGATCCACGAGAAGAGCTAAACCGGTATTGGGGTGTCGAAAAGTTTTAGGAAATCTGATAAGTGGTGCGTTACGTAGTTTGAGGTTGGATTTTGGCAAGCTCAGGTATAACTGATGTTTCCATCATCGCCCTTGCGTACAAAATCCAAAGTTTTCAGACTACTTACGAGTAAGCGACTTATCCGCTTGTTTCACGGCTCTAGACTGCCCGCTGTTGGCGTATGGCTGAGACAGCGACACAGTGTGTTAGCCCGAAGCATGTGATGGTGCTTATCTGTACAGTTTGTTATTCCTGAGCTTGTTTGTTGAGCACCAAACGTTTCATTGCTACTTAAGGAGACGTCTTTCACCGGTATCGTTCAACGTGATCGCGAAAATGATTCTCAGCTGATCCCTCCTTCCATTCCGAAGACATGTTTTCAACCTTCCAATCTAAACCCTAACATATCCTCAATAACAGGCCTTTCTGTGGTTATGGACATTTTCACCGGTTACTCTCTTCCGCAATGCGATGCATTTGAGCTGAGGTAGACCGGCTCCCTTTCTAAATAAGCTCTTTCTTAGGGCTGATAGCTGTCTATCCGAAGGTCCACCTAGGTTCGTGGAAAGAAATCACTCTTTTAGCTCAAACTTTGGATGATCTTCTGGAGTATAGTTGATATTACGTTTTTTTCTGTCCTGTGGAACATTGTTAATTGCCTAACATCTGTTTCGCAGATGATGGGGAAAGACGAAATAGCAAATTCTCTTCATATCAAAGAGTTACCACTTTCCAGTTTGAAGCGTATGTCTGCGTAGCATGAGACATTCATTTTTACGCTATAAACCCTATAAGGACTGCACTCTTTGGAAGCCATTTAACTAGGCTCTTTCCGTAATTCATTTAGAACTTAGAGCATCAGCAAAACGTCTCAAGACTTATTAGTCTTCATTTTGTGGTATCCTTTATGCTGTCTCGAGCATTCAAATCTTCCGCTTCAAATGCTTGACTTTCTTCACCGTACAGATACATCTTGTAAGTCTTCGTAGAACAGATAGTCCTTGAGTCGGGTCTATTCCTATTCATCTACTTAAGGCATCATACAAAATTGCACAGTTCACTGACTGTTGCTATATATGGACGACAACAACAAATAGATTGTGAATCCGGGGACCCGGATTCAATGAAATTTATAAACGTCGCCTCTACGCGCTCTAACCGCGTCTCACTTGCAAGCAGTTTACACACAAAAACTGGAAGTGGAAGCAAAGTTTGACAGAATTCTATTTTCCAAAAATTGCCTTTGGTGGTATTCTGGAACTGGAGTTCGTTATTGTCACCATTAATCCTATGGCGTTGCGTGAAGTGTGTACGTATTTGTTGGTAGGTGGATAAGCGAATCATTGATCGAAATGCACGGGCGATTTGTTTGATTTACCCACACGGTAGGCGGATGAATACTGTACACTGGAAGTCGCTAACCAACTTTTCATGATCTCGTTGCATCCACCGGATGGATCCCATTCAAGACAAAAAAGTAGTGGGTAGAGGAAACTACTCACAAGGATATCGTACCAACTGAAACACGAGGCAGTCTTTGTGCAGCACATTCAATTGAGAAGAACATCGTAAAAGAGTGGTGCAGTAGAGTCTCCCATGAAAATCTAGTTGATATGCAAATGGGTGTATTTGTCGATATGTAGTGAGTAAATTCCCCGGCCCTGACCGCATTCTCACTCTGCCACTTTAAAATCCTGATTTTCTTCTCTGTAAGTCTCCTCCGGTGGATTTGTGGGAATCCTGTACATCAGGAATCTCCTCGCCGCTCAAAAAACAAATGATAGAATCTCGATTACTAATCAACAACACAGGGCCATGAACATTTTCCAAGGAGGGTTTCACGCAGACCACTTTGGTGTTCACCAGATTGTGTCTTCTTCATCTTCCTAATTCGTGATTTTCTCCCTTTCAGTTTAGGAGAGTGGCAGGTGCAGTAACATCAGAAGGAACGGAAATACCTGACGACCCGACTTGCAGCTATGAATCGAAATACTCCAAGTGCTGTGGTTCGCCCACAGTGACCATCTCCAGCTCGAGCGCTGAAACAACTGTGTCCGTTCGTCGCTCACCAGTTCGCCGTGTTCGACCCGATGCGTTTCGACGCACTCTGCGGCTACGTAGAGTAAGTCTTCACATGAGCGATTCTGTTTCTTCCCTCTCTGTTTTAGAACTGTGTTAGCCTTTCCACCCAGTGGCCTGTACCAGTTAGAGGCCCTTGTTTTGGCCGCTTGCTACCCCTTTGATACCTGCTAAGTTGCAGTGTTACTCTGGCTCCGTCGCAGAATTGTCTTAACGTTGTCAACCCACGGTTTATAGTCATTGAATCAGTAAAACGGTACTCCAGTAGGGCAGGTTCTGCCAACTGAAAGTCACGCTTAGCAAGGTGGAGAAGTGATAAAACCGCCACTAGTATGTGACTTGCTACACTTTGGTGGTGAAAGCAGATTAGGCTGAGTCCTTGTCTGAATTACCCAACTTCCTTCACTTTGTTTGCACGTTAAATTTTTCCTGTCCAATAAAACAGCTGTCATGGAATATACCAAAAGTTTCCACCACTAGTCGTATTGCTTTTAGATCTTCTAGTTGGCCAAACCTGGAGAAACATTGAACGAAAGCTGACCTAGGTAAGACCAGGGTATGTGAGGAGATGCGGAGATGCAGGCAAAGTGAGTAGGGTCAGAGTTTGGTCATCCTCATAGCATGCTGGCAATTCAGGCTGTTCGGTGCCCCTTGGAAAAGATGTGATGTTAGGTACCGGCCGACCTCACGTTTGACCCAAAATAGGAAAATCGATTTTATTCACCTAAATTAACTCCGAGTCCTTTCTCACACAAGACTGTTTCTCACGGCCGCGTGCAAATGGTTCGAATCGCTTTCATCTTACCTCCAAATTCCATACACAGTGTCCTTCTTGGTTAACAAATTTTGAGATTTAATATTTGCGATCAATGTTATCTTATTGCTGACTTTAACACTGATACAATTTCAAAGGTCTAAGAAAAGCTACTGTTTGACAACGAAGTAAGTACGACATAATCCAGGTTCTTTCTTTGCGTAGAAATTCCGCCGACCTTCTTGTTGTTGATCACATAGAAAGGGTTGAATAGCTGTATATAGTCATTAGCGCGACCACAAACGAAAGGCTCGCATTAGATCGAAGGGAATTCGACATCATAATAACTAAAACATGACCCTTGTTTTTTTAATACGCACACCAACGTGCGCAGCACATCCACTCAGAGAAGATGTGATGTAAACTCTTCCTGATCTCAGCGCAGAAGATGGAGGACAAATGAAAACTGTGTGATCCCCGTTATGTCAACCGAATGAAACGTCACACCACTAATCATAAAAATCCTCGTCCATAACACTGCGGCGTTATTCCCTGGCGTATCTACCAAAGTTGCGCGTGGCATAAGTTGAAACGACTAACTTTCAGGAGTAATTGTTCCCGTATAGGAGGTCAGCAGGCTATATTCCTGACGTCGTAAAATCTCTTCTCGTGCCTACAACTAGGTTGACTGATATCTTATCAGAGTCAGAAGCGAGTCGCCATATTGAAACTTTTCTGTGCTCACCGGACAGTCTCGATTTTGCTGTCGTTAGTGTAGGCCAAGGTAATCTGCTACTGAACATAATGGGCTTACGAGATAGCCTTCTCGATGTTCTACTTGATCAGAATCGCACGTGTCATAATATGGCTGTATAGTTTCAAATAAGGCACTCACCAACGACAAACCATAGAATCGTTCCCGGGCATCGATTACTCACCGTTTACGCTAGGCTCTTCTGATAGCCCAGGTGATCCGGTCGGGCGTAAGATTACCGAGGGGACATCATCATCAATGACAGCAATAACCAGTAATACATGCTGATAATTTACCAAGCAACCATGGAGGCGTAAAGCTGTAGTAAAGAGTAAGAAAGGGAAACAGTAAGAACTTAGGAAAAACGATTAAGCATAACGTGTCGACACCTTTGGGCAGCATTAAAATGGACACATATGACCGTCATGTCGAAGTAAAATACCATTGACGGGACTGACCGAGCGTTTTTGTGAACCTCAGCCAGCATCAGCCGAGGACACAACAGCACACAAACTTCAGCTAGGCAGTCCGGCATTCGCGCCACTGCGTTCGGTTGCGCGCGATGTCCTGCAGGGTATTTACGTTGGCCCCAGCCAAGAAGGCGTGAGGATCCCACAGCACTCAGCTTGATTGTAACCGCCTGTACTTCATATTGCCATATTGTGGCCTCCTGTGAACCTTTCGCCAACAATCGCTCAAAACATGGTGGTTGGCCGTACGCAATATATGCCCCAAGCACTCCAACCTAGGAAACATATTCCACCGTTCTAACGATTTGGATTCGTTATCAAGTACCCGCTTACTCACTTTACCCTTTACGGCAGCGAAGAATCGGTGTTTAACATTGGTGTCATGCCATCGATGATGATGATGACCCGCTTACTCACCGCAGCATGCAGACCTGTTTTCGTTTCGGTACTTTCAGACGTGAGTTTTTGAGGTGCATTGAGCGTTGATTTGTGCATCTTTTCTCGGGAAGGTATCTACTTTAACAATTGAAGTAAACCTGGATTTCAATCAACTGGAAAGGTTTGGAACCGACTAAGATGTCACTGTTTCAGAAGGACCTCACAAAAAATCAGCAGTTATCTAACTATCGATTGCTTACCAAATCCTTCTGAAAGCTTGAATTTGTTCCAAAAGTGTGGCCAGATCCCGAAACATCTAATTAACCAGGCCCTTCATCCTAAACAGGATTCATCAGGTGTGAATAAAGTGATTGATCACACGCCCCAAGAATCACCCCCCAAAACCATAGGATTATCAAGTCAGATGTTGATATTAGAAAACCGTAGACTGGTATCCAACATTTCCTATTTGAAGGTGATCCAATAAGCCTTTATTTAACCAGTAAGTGAAAAAGGAGTTCTGATTGACTTTCGCGCAATCAAGCTATCCTGAACACCAGATCCTTATCAGTAGAATAGTCGGCACATGCCTCAGTCGACTGTCAAACCAGGTAAACAAGACTGAAGATGACCGATTCACACAGAGCCACTCGCATGCCAGTGTTTCTCATCGGCGGTTTGAGCGCCCGTGTTAGTGATCGCACCGGAATAAGACAGGTCAACCGAATTCAATACCCGACGCATCACGATCCTAATGACGGCCAGACAACGGTTGTCGTGGCTAGAATCAGCCATACGAGGAATGCCAAGCGGCATCAGAGACAAAGACATGGAAAAATCGATAAAGTGGATTCAATCGGCAGCAGACAAAGCAGCTGTGGGCAGTGTCTTTCTACAAGGCATGTGAACTGCCCTATTTTTCGACATCTCAACTGATACTCGACCTAAGGTCATCTCATCTGGAATGTAGATTTTACAAATTATTCGAGACGGCCGAAGTGGTTAGGGCGCGAAATTACTGATCGGAAAGTCCGTGGTTCGGACCCGCCCTCTGCCTCTCGACTTCCCCTGTGTAGGCTTGGGCAACCTGGCAGTATCCCAGCCCTCGTGAAACTTTCGGGTGACATGGCAGTTGGGCACCGGAAGGGTGCTACAGCTGAACGATTTTTTTCTTCAACATTCACTTCTCTAGCAGAAGACAGTAAGCTCGGACAAAAGCCCCCAATCATATCATCTTTACAAAATGGAGTTTTCTTGTGAAAATAAGCCTTTTATGGGATTATGGTTTCTTGATAAGGTGGAGCAAAAGCAATATTAACGGACGAATACCGTAGGGTGACGATCCTTTTAAAGAAGTCTTTGAAAATGGCGGGTTCGAACTTGGGAAATACCCACAAAAAGCCGTCTGAGTCACAAAAAGTACCCTCGCCGAATACAGGCATAAACCTCAGCACTTTCATAAGGTAACACAAGCGAGGAACCGAGTTCCAGATACGGAAACATATGCCTAATTTTTAAAAACATGACTATTCATTTTATCTACGGTGCATTGATATGGTACTGCATACATGTTCAGAAATCTCATTTTTGGCTAAAATTCACCTAGGGAGCGTCGGTTACCATCATTAGGTGCGATCATTCCGTCATCGCGTGATGAAACCACCACTCACATGAGAGAGATTTTGACCAAAAAGTTGACGAAAAGTGACGCTACACTAAACCCCAACTACACATACTATTTCTCAACAGTTTCTGAAGTTTCGTTTTTTCCTGGCAAGATACCGTGGGATGCTACGTTGCCAGCATGAGCTTTCATTTCCGGCTAATTAGGGTGTTAGTCCACCAAGTTCATCGTGGAGACTGAAGAAGTATTTTTACCGATTGCATCACTGTCCACAACTCCTCGCAGATGTCAGTGGATCACTAGAGAATCGCCATACTTGGCTCGAATCAATTCGACGAAATAAATTCCTTATCAATTAACTAATTCAGTGGGCAGAATTTTGTGTTAGTGGGGGTCATCAATCAAAAACTGACTAAATTTAAGTTGGCTTGTGCGGCCTTTTTGCCTCATTTGTTGGAGAGTGCACTGCTTACTCGGCGCCTGTGACGCGTGCTTTCGAAAGGTAGAAGGGTGGTTCGTCATCACAACACTAATTACCTGGATGTTTGAACTGATCCCCCTGCGTTAGAGGCTGACTCAGTGTGCCTATGGACTGTTATTCACTGACACTCTCCAATTAATTCACTATGTTTTTATTAACTTAATTTAACTTGGTGGATGCAAAACTAATATCTCCCAATCAGTTTGTTTAGGCTCCTATTTAACAAGATGCACGGACTCCAATGCTCTGGGATAAACTCAATAGGAGGGTGTGTTGTGGCGAGTTATGAATAGCTATCGTTTATCGTTAACGATGGTGCTCAATTGATTAACCTACTTGGGAAAAATTAGTTCAAGAATCTAATCTGGATGTGACTTCACAAAGCTCCCACACACATAGAAAAACCCTCAATAAATAATTGGATAAACCAACCTGAAGAGTATTATTTTTGTTGCGGGGCGGGCTTCCGTTCTTGGTTGAAACTCATCCAACCTAGCGACTTAATCATCTGTTCTGATGAAGGCGATTCCGAAATTCCTCCTCCCCTTCATATGTATTGTTTGATACTTTGGATCAAATTAT